CGCCTTCGCCTGGTGGCCGGACCCCCCTCCCCGCCTGGCCACGGAGGGCATCAGGAGCCTCCTCTGCCCTCTGCCTCCCCTCCCCCCCCACTGAGGAGATTCCCTTCCCTGCGAGTCCAGGGCAGGAAGGTCCAAGGGGGAGGGGGTTGCTGGGTCCCAAACACTCCAAAGAGAGGGTCACTGCGGCAGCCACCCCCCCAAAAAAACCCTCCCAAGCCTCAGAGTGCCGGACCGGAGGGGCGCCTGGCCTCCGAGGCGCAAAGGACGGGTGGCCCGACACCAGGCAGGGGAGGAAAGGCGGTTCCCCACCTGAGCTCATCATGTACTCGCGATAGACGGGCACGTAGAAGAGACCGGCCAGGAGGGCCAGGCTGGAGGTCAGGCCGGGAAAGGTCCGGGAGAAGCCACAGGCCTCCGTGCAGAAGGCGGAAAAGGCTCCGGCGCAGATGATGCCGTGGGGGTGGGAGCCCAGCACGTAGTTCCGGGTGGGGGGCAGTTCGGCCGTCTTCACCAGCTGCGGGGGAGAGCAGAGCGGTGGGGGCCCCTCCCCTCTCCTGCCCTGGGGCAGAGCAGGCCTCCCTGCAGGGGGGGGGGGGGGGGGGGTCCCCCAGGCCAACCGTCCCCCCCAAAGAGTCCGCGGCCTTCACCCCCCTTCCCCCCCGTTTTCCAAGCCGTGGAGGGGCTGGGCCTGGGGCTAGCCCGGGCCCAGCGGGAAGCAGCTCTTTCAGGGGGCCAGGTGGGGCCGCGGCCTCCACCCAGGGCTCCTCCTCCTCCTCCTCCTCCTCCTACCTGGATGGGGAAATAGTCCCTGTGCAGCTCCCAGACCTTCCAGCTCCTCATCCACTGGCTGCGACGTCCTCCTGCCGGGAGAGAGCGCAAGAGCCCCGAGTGGGTGGCTGGTCCTGCAAGGGGAACCGTGGGGCCCGGCTGCCCGGCTGGGCCCGCGGGTAGGAGGCGGCGGCTGGGGTTTGGGGGATCAGCGGGGGTGGGGGGGTCGGGGGAGGTGTTCGGTGGCCAGATCCAGCTTCCCCCGAGGAACCTGCCTGGCCAAGAGTCCAGGCGGAGGGCAAGAGGGCACCCCCTTTGAGAAGGCCACCGCCCAAAGACCACAGTTCTTGTCCCCCCCGGCCCCCCCTCCCCCGCCCAGCTCCACAGCCGCCTCCCACCGGAAAGGGGGTCTGGGCTCAGGACCCGAGAGGGCCCCACAGGGGCAGAGACCCCAAGGACCCCCCCTCTTGCTGCAGGAGGATCAGGAAGAGCCCTGGCAGCTTGAAGGCCGAGGGGGCAGCCCTGGGCGGAGGGGGGGATCCCGGGGAGGGAGGGAGGGAGGGAGGGAGGGGGAGCTCCGCACCGTGCATCGGGGTCTCCAAGTCCACCATCCACCAGGCGAAGTAGAGCACGCTCAGCGACCAGAAGGAGGTGAAGAGCAGGTAAATTAGGAGCAGGGTGAAGAAGAGGCCTGGAGGGGGGAGGCCAGGCTTCACATGGGGCCCCTGCCTGCCCCCCACCTGGGCTCAGAAGGCCCCCAGGCCCCTTTGCCCCGAGGGGCCGCCCTCCCCTCCCAAGAGGAAGGGGGCTGGCCTGAGCCCACAGGCTCCCACCCCCACATCCTCCCCCCCCCGCTCCTACCGAAGAAGAGGAAGGTCAGCACCCACTGGAAGACGCTGAGGGCCTCCAGCTGCCGAAGCAGGATCCCCTTCTCCGGCTGACCTGTGGCGGGGTACAAAAAGGGGCCCCCAGTCCAGGAGCAGCCCCCAAGCTCCCCCCCCCCCGGCACCCAGAGCCCCCCTGCCCCTTCCCCCCCCCCCGGCTGCAGGGAAGGGGAGAGGACCTACCCCGGGGGGGCGGAGAGGCTCCCACCGGCCCGTCCATGAGGCTCCGCGTCCTGCAGGCTCTGCAGCTGAACTTCGGCCTGCCAGCAGGCAGGAGAGCAGGTGCTCCAAGCGGAGGAGGAGGAGGAGGAGGAAGGAGGAAGGAGGAGGAGGCCGGGGCAGAAGCCACCACACAAGGCCTGCCCCCCCGCCCCCGCCCTGCCACCGGGGCCCTGCAGGGAGCCTGGCCGCCTGCTCCCCACCCGCCAGCCCGGCTCTGCTTGGTCTTCCAGCCCTTGGAGCCCTCCGAGGTGGGCTGGGCTCAGGCAGGGGTCAAAGGTCAGCTGCCAGCAAGGCTCAGGGCAGGGCAAAGGCCGCTCTGGCCCAGATTCCTCTCGCCCCCCCCCCCCCCCCCCCCCCCCGGCGCGGCCCCCCCCCCCCCCCC